ATAGCTGCAGCTCATGAAATGGGGATTTGGAACACAGCAACAGTGTGTTTCCTCTTCCCTGCCCTTGGGCTGGTCTGGGGGCTCCATGAGCCACCCGAAACCCTGAGAAGTTGGGCGCAGAGCGGGGCTCTGATGCCCAGAGATGGCCCGGGAACCCTCAGGGGCCAGGGAGTCCCCAGGATGCAGCCACCTCCCTGTCCCCAGCAAGCACAGCTTCCTCCCAGGCAGGCAGGCGGCTGTGCAGCTGGGCTTCCTTGAGGGCTGCGAGGGAGGAGGGCATGGCCGCAGGGGCCCCGACGGCAGGCCACCAGGTGGGGCTCATTGCTCTTGCACAGTGCTCTAAAAATACTGAACCCACATTTACAAATGACGAAACTTCACACAGCAGCCCGGATTTCTGGCTCCTCTTAAAGTAATGGGGCCGGCAGTCACACAAAGGGAGGAGGCCTTGGGGGCTCCTGGTCCTCAGCTGTCTTTTAACCACTTCAGCCCCTCCCAAGAGGTCCCTGGGCTGGGTTCAGCAGCATCCCCTTGAGTGCCATGTTCTCCTGGAAGTTCAAAACGCAACCTTACTTGATCTTTTTTTTTTTTTGGTACTGGGGATCGAACTTGGGTCCCTGCACTTGTGTAGCAGGTGGCGAAACCACTGAGTTAAATCCCTGGCCTGACCTTACTTGAAAGTGGGTCCATGCTGGTGGAACGGGCTGAGCTGAGGTCATGGTGGGTTAGAGTGGCCATCCGTCTGTGGCTTACGAAGAGGGAGATATGGACACAGAGAAACACAAGGGAAGATGGCCATGGAAGACAGAGCAGAGGGTGGACTGAGGCAGCCTCAAGCCAGGGAGCAAGAGGAATCCCTGGCTCCCACCAGAAGGGGAGGGTGCCCGGGACAGGGTCTGCCTGGAACCTTGGAGGGAGCCAAGCTCGCCAACATCCGGATTGCAGCTCTGTCCTCCAGAGCAGCTAGAAGATGCATTACTGTTGCTTTTTGCCACTCTCTTTGTACTCTTCCATCCTCTCTCTTCCTTTTTCCTTCCTTTCCTCTTTCTTTCTTTCATTCATTCTTTTTCTCTACTGTACTGGGGATTGAACCCAGGGCCTTCACACTGCACTACATCCAAAATCAATTTTTTTCTTTCTTTCTTTTTTTGCTTTTCCGTTATTGGGGATCAAACTCAGGACCTTGTGCTTGCCAGGCAGGCGGGGCACCACTGAGCTACATCCCTGACCCCTAAAATACATTTTAAAATTTTGAGACCTAATCTCACTAAATTGCTAAATTGTCCAGGCTAGGATTGATCTCATGATCCTCCTGCATCAGCCTCCCGAGTGCTGGGATTACAGGGGTGTGCACCACACCAGGCTCTTTGTTGTCTTTCGTTTTGTTTTGTTTGAGACAGGGCTTCTCTTTCTGCAGGCTGGCCTTAAACTCACTCTGTAGCCCAGGTTGGCCTCAAACTCGTGTGATCCTCCTGCGTCAGCCTCCCGAGTGCTAGGATTACAGGTGTGCACCCATAGCCAGCTGTCATTTCTTATGACAGCCTCAGAAAGGACCCCACTCAGTTTCCCAAGTTTGCCCCACTCAGCCTGTAGGTATTGTGAGTCTGACACACCCAAACAGTGGCTCCTCCCCTCTTCCCAAGTCCTTTCCAGGAATCTTCCACTTTCTTGGACAGAGGCCCCCCCTGCCTGCCAGGCCTCCTGTTGCCTTTGGGCTTCTCCTGGCCTCTCCAGCCAGGCCAGCAGAACCTGAGGGCAGTGGAAGGGGCCTGGAAGGGCTGTACAGTGGACCCTTGAGTTGTGACCGGCTTGACATATGAACAACTTGGGTTACGACTGGAATTTTAGTTTTAACTTAGGAACAAAGTCTTGAGTTATGATCCAAATGATGGCCGCTTGTGCTTCCAGATGGTTTCAGATAGAGATTTAACCCTTAAAGCATTCTGCAAGGAGCATTACACCATCCTTTCCTGTGTGGGGTTGACTGAGAAATCCTGGGCCAGTGTCTCTCTAAGGACACTGAGATCTGCCTGGATACAAGAGAGAGACTTTGAAGGCTGTGTAGAGGAGCTTGAGCTTTCAGTTGATCAACTTGAGTTACAACCAGCCCTTGGGAACGAATTGAGTTTGTAAGTCAGGGGTCCACTGTATTTAGAGTATGGGGCAGATGCTGAGTCTGTACCCCCCTCAGGGTGGGGCCAGTTCAGTTTACAGTGGGGAGAGGCCGGGGTGTGGCCCACCCTGCCACTCCTCCTGTTCCTGCTCCCAAGTCTCCTCGAGGGAATTCCCTTGCCTAGGAACCCTCCTGCCTCATCATAAGACATTGAGTCTTTTATTTTTTGGTACTGAGGATCGAACTCAGGGCCTTGAGCTTGCAAAGTAGGCAACGGAACCACTGAGCTAAATCCCCGGCCCAATTGGGTCTTTGTCTAGGACAGTGGTTCTCTACCCTCACTGGTTATGTTGGCCGAACTTGAATTAAAGAACCAAATGTACCCAGGCCCCTTCTTAGGGAGAGATCAGAATAAGGCCTCAGTTTCCCTAAGCTCTGCAGGTGTTTGTGCTGGGAGCCAGGACCCCCAGACCACAGGTCAGGGTCTAGGTTTGGGTTCCCCAGAAGCAGATTCTGAGACAAGGATCAAGTACAAGTAGTGGGGTTAGGAGGTGAGCCCAGGAGCACTGACAGGGAGATGGGAGTGAGGCAGGGGACACAGGAGCTGGGAGCTGTGTCCCAGAGCAGGTGACACTGGGCCCCTGGGCCTCTGTTCTGCCTCCGCTGCAGGTGGCTGCTAGCAATGGTAGCAATGGTAGTCACAGCTCTGAAGCTCTGAGGAGGCAGGCGGCAGGCTCTCTGCGTGCATCCCCAGGCTCCGTCCTTCCAACAACCCTAGGAAGCGGGTGTGGTAGGGTCAGGCTTTCAGCTGGGGAAACTGAGACTCAGAGAGCTTGTTTCGAAGGATGAGGACGTGGGGATCTGCCGCACCATGGAGAGCAAGGAGGACTAGTTATACTGAACTTCACTGCAGACCACAAGCTGACAAAAGGGAAATAGAGTCAGAAAGGAGCAGGCAGCTGGACAATCTGGCACACAAAATATAGCTCACCATTCTCCATGTGCCTCCCTGCTGGCCGAGGGCAGAAGGGGCTTGTTCCTCTCACCTCCAAGTCCTGGCCTCTGGCCACCTCCCTGGGTGACCCAGCCCAGATCTGGCCTTGCCTTCGGAAGAGAGCCCATCTCCTACTGCCAGAGGGAGGCCTTCCCTTTGGTTAAAGGCCACCGCCAAGCTCCCATAAGAGGGGTACACCATCAGAAGGGCCATTTCGTTCCCTAGTGAGGCTGTGACTTTGGCCTCGGCAGCCAGGGATTAAATGATTACCGGAGTTTGTGGCAGACAGAGGCACCTGGTGTGATTTAGAGGCCCGGCAGAGGCCCCTGCCCTCCAATATCTCCTTGGCCAGCCTTCCACGATGCCCAGATTTCCTACCACCATTCATCAGTCTTCAGCACCAAGACACGGTCAGCATGTCCTTGTTCAATGCAAATTTGTTACCTAGCCAGAGTAACATATTAATCCGCCAACACCAATTTATCACCCGTTTTCACACTGGCAGGGAGCAAGGCAATGAGATAATGGAACTGGGGGACAGGTGAATTTTGATGAGGGAGCAGGAAAAGTGTGGAGCATGAGTCACTGCTAGTGAGAAATGGCTCAAAGAGGCTGGGAGGAGGTGGGGCAGGCAGCCAAGGGGCCAGGGTCCCCTGCCGGTTGGAAGGGACCTTGAACAGATGGTAAAACAAGGGCTTTTCCCCTCAGTAAACCAGGCTGCAGAGTCACTGCTGGAGGCAGGAGAGACCCCCAGGACCTCCTTGAACTGTGCACCCAGCCCAAGGGACTGGGCCGTCCCCATTGCGGGTGAGAGGTGCCACGCTGCCGATGCCTGGTCTCGGCGGTGCCGTCCCAGCCTGTGAACTTTCCTCAGATGGGCCCAGGCGGCCAGGAGCCTCCGATCCACAACTGCAGACACAACACCAAAGTCAAGTACCGGGTCGGGGCGGAGGACCTGTAGGTGGTGGAGGACTCAGGTCCTCTGTAGTCTTGGAGCTCTGGGTCACTCGTTTTATAGCTGAGATGCCTCTGACTCGCAGGTGACGTTGCACTGAGGCCCGCTAGATCCCGGGCCTCACCCGGCCACCCCTGTCTCCAGGTCTGAGTGCCACAGGCCTAGCGTTTTATACTAGGCCCAAGGAGCAAAGCCAAGCCCAGGGAGTTTCTGACAGGGATGGAAATCAGAGTGGGCGCGAAGCAGCCGGTGCAGGAGCTCCTGGGTGCTGCAGAGACAGGGATCACAGGGAGACCCTGCCATCGGAAGCCCGGGAAGGGGTCTCCCCTCTGCACCCCACTTCCTGGGCGCTTTGCAGGAGCTGAAGGAGCCCTCGGCTCGGCTCTCGGGGTTGCTGGCTCGCTAGGAAGCTGCATGGCCCTGGGCGCAGGGACCGTGCCCACAGGTCTCACGGAACCTGGAGCCCTGGTCCCCCGCCCTGCACCTCCCGGGGAGCGCGCCCGGCTGGGCTGTGGCCGCGAGGTGGCGCCAGCGCGCCGAGGAAGCGCGGAGGCCGCTCCCGGGCCGCCCCAGCCGCCGCTCCGCCGCCTCCTCCGAGGAAACAATGCGGCGCCTCTCCGCGTAGTGCTGCGCGGGCCCGGACGCCCGACACCCGAGCGCTGGCAGCCGAGCGAGCGGGCGGGCGGGCGCTCGAGGGGCGCCCTCTCCGAGAGCCATGAGCGCGGCGCGGCGCGGGGCCGGAGCTCGGCGCGGCCCAGAGGCACGGGGGGCCGGGGCGCGGGCCCTGGGCTGCGTCTAGCCGGCGCCAAGGCGCGGGGCCGGGGATGCGGGCGCCCGCCGCGGGGAGCCCGTCTGCGCGCCGCGGAGCCGTCCCGCCCAGCGAGCGAGCCCGAGCAGGCAGACGCGCGGCCGGCGGTCTGGGGGCGCGCCGCCTCCCGGCCCCCACGATGTGAGCGGGAGGGAGGAGACGCAGAGACGGCCGGGCCGGGCGCCCTCGCCACCCTCCGAGCCGCGCCGCTTCCCTTCCGCGGTGCCGAGGCCGCGACGCCCGCGGCGGCCCGAGCAGCGAGGCCACCGAGCCCCGTGCCCCGCCCCGCTCTGACCCGGCTTCGGCCCGCAGCGGGTTCGCGGCCCCGGACGCGGCGGGAGCCGTGCCCAGGACGGTGCGTCCGGCCTCGCCCGCGGCTTCGCCAGACAAGTTTGAACCATGATCACAGTCAACCCGGATGGGAAGATAATGATCAGAAGATGCCTCGTCACCCTGAGACCCTTTCGGTAAAGTTCTCTCGGGCTTGGCGCCGGTGGAGGTGGGCGCGGGGGCGGGGTCGGTCCCTGCGAGGACGCGAAGGACGTCCCAGTGGCAAAGGGGGCGCGCGCTTCAGCCCTCGGTGGTGCCGGTGGGGCCGAAGGAACGATGGAGTGGGGCTTCGGGTGCGGGCGGGGAGGGAGTGCGATTCTGGACCTGTCCCGAGTTGGTCTGGATTGGAGAGGGCTTGGGCTGCGGAGGTGGGAACGAGTCCGAAAGCCCTCAGGTTGTGGTCTTGGGCCCAGGAAGTCGCCCCAGCCCACGCGCCTCTTTCCCGCCCCTCGGGTCCTCCCTCCCCTCGCGTCGCGGTCGGGCTCATCTGGGCGGCAAAGTTGGTGCACAGCCCCGAGCGGCGCCCCCTCGCTCCGCCTGTCTGGCCCCAGGTCGGCCCCCACCCCTCGGCCTGATCCGTCCTCCCTGCCCCGCCTCGGAGGCACGCCCTTCCTGCCTGCAGGCGGGGGGCCTGTCTACGACCGGAGGACCCCGAGATTGGGGCGAGGACTTCAGAGGGGGACTCATCCCCGACCGCGGGGCTCAGCGGGAACGGGAGGGCGGACCGAGGAGACGACCCCTCACACGCACCGTGGGCGCCCTGGCCTTGCGGGACTCACCGGGCTCTGCTGTCTCACCCAAGGACCCCGCGTGCGGGACAGCTCCTTCTCTCCCAGGCGCCCCAAAGTCCCCGCGCTGGCGTCCCCAGGGCTGGAGTCTCAGCCCGGAGACAGTTGCCGAGCGGGGGTGGAGGGTGCGGGACAGGGCGGGGCGGGACTCGGGACAGGCCACAGGTGGGGACCTGGAGCTGCAGGGGAGGAGGCGCCGGGCTTGGGTTGCCGGGCGGGCAGACTCGAGCCCTCTCCTCCAGGCCTCCAGCTGGAGCCCAGTGTCCTCCCAAGCCCTCCAGGTCCCCTCCAGTCTCCCTGCAAGTCCCCCTGGAGCTGGGGGTGGGGAGACTATGACACCCTGGCCTCCCAGTGTGAGGGCATCCGCTGGGGGCCGAAGCGCTCAGACCGGTCAGGCTGGTCTGGGAGGACGTGGGACAGCAGAGACGGGATCTGGGGAGGGGGGGGGCTTTACGCGGGTTATTGGAGGGCGCCAGGAACCCCTGGCCTGAGGTGCCCACGGGAAGATGGGTGAGAAGTGGGCGTCTCTGGAAAGGGCCTTGCTCCTCCAGGGAAAGCCTCCGATCTTTTCCTGGTCTGCCCGGGACTCCGAGAGGGTCCTCATCCTGTCTCCCACCCCATGTGGGCCCCCACCCTGTAAATCGCCGGAAGCCTCGCTTCTGCCAGACGTTTCCTGGTGCGATTCGAGGCCTCGCTGGCTGCCCCCAGTACCTCGGACAGCGCCCAGCCCAGAGCAGCTTCCCTCTCAGGTCCTGTCCCCATCTCCGAGCTTTGTTTTTCTTTGACAAGATCTTGCTATGTAGCTCCGGCTGGCCTTGAACTCATTAAGCAGCCCGGGCTGGCCTCGAACTCATGATGATCCTCCTGCCCCAGCCTCCTGAGTGCTGGGACTACAGGCCTGTGCCACCAGGCCCACCCAGGCTCCTATCTGACAGCATTGGAGTTGAAGTTGTATGCTCTCCCCTTGGGTGCAACTTAACCTCAGGGTCTCACAGCCACCAGGGGGGTTTTCATTTCCCCTTCAGATCGGGGACAGGCCTCTGATTACATCATCCCAACTTCTTCATCCCCAAGGTGGGCTGGGAATGCTATTCTTTTGGTTTTCTTAGAGCTTCTGGCAGGGCCTTTATTCTATAGATGCTCCTAAATGTTGCTTGAATGGATGTATGGATGTATGGAACCATTTTAACTTGGCTCCTCTGTATATGAGCCCAGCTGCTTTGGGGAACCCTGGACCCCAGGGTTGGTGACTGGCAGAGAGAATCAGATGAAGGGTGCTGGGGCTTCAGGGTCTGGGCTAAGGGTGGGGACACCTTTCCCATGGGAGTCTGGACCCTGGCAGGCAGCCCAGGCCTCCAGCTGTAAATACCCCTCCAGGGCTGGGGAGAGGTGGAAGGCTGAGAACAGCTGGGGGAGTCCTTTGTCCTCAGGCCTGGAGGACAAATAGCTGCCCCCACTGGGGTCTCTCTGGGTGTGCAACAGCCCCTTTGCTGCACTGTTGCTCTGCTGTCACCCAAGACCTGCCTGATTCCCTCTAAGGGAACACAGGTTCTGAGTCCCACCCTAGACTGGGAGGAATCCGGTGTCTCTGGTGCTGTCTTGCCCACTGAATTGCATCCCTGTCCCCCCTGGCAGGGACATGTCTGTAAGTTTTCCCCAGGGATGCTCCTGGGACCCTCTCTCTTAGGGTCCTGCCCTTCTCTGGCTTAATCTCTAACAGCTTCCTTTAAACGTGGGCTGGGGATTTTGTTGTGCTTTTTATTTTCTTCTGCAATTATGTGTTTTCTTTAGTGGACCAAATTTTAATTAAATACTGCTCTGCCAGTTTCAAATAATGAAGATTAAAATGCATAGAGCAAGTCTTGCATAAAGATACAAACAAGCCCTGGGTTTGGGGAGAGGAGGTAGGGCAGCTGGAAGTCCCTGGCATGGCCTGTGGAGCCCTCTCTGGGCAGCCTGGCTCCACACAGGTGAGGCTTCTCACACTGACCCAGAGGAGGGGCCTCCCCTCGGGGCTCTGCTGGTACATCGTGTCCCCTGGTAGAGTCAAGGTCCTGGAACATCTACCACCTCTGACTGCTCCCAAGGCTGCACTCCCAGCCCAGTTCTCCTGTTTGGGGCTCAGGTTGAGCATTAAGGGTCAGGAGCCCGAGCTGGGCTTAGGGATGGGTTTTGTGTCTGGTTCCCTGCTGGCTCCCTGGCTACCTGGTGGATAATCCATAACTATCTGTTGAGGGACTGAGTGAGGTCATGTCTGATCAGCCTCCTCTGGGCGTCAGTGGAGCAGGCTGGCAGGCACTGTGTGTGGGTCTGGTGGGACAACGGGGAGGGGTCTGGGGACAGCAGGGGCCCAGGTGGCCTTGCCTGGGATCTTACCATGTAGCAGCGACAGGGTACACAGCACCCCTGAGAACACAGATACGGAGCTTTTACAGAGTGCCCGTGACTGCTGGCAGCAGGTACACGGGCGGAGGTGATGGATGGGATCCAGGTGGGTCTCAGCTAGACCGATTACCTGCTCCGTGGCCACCTCAGGCCCTGGTGTTCCGTCTATACCAGTGGTTCTCAAACTTCAGCATGTGTCAGGGTCGCTGGGAGAGCTTGTTACAACAGAGGGCTGGCTCTGCCCCCGTGTCTAGCCCAGAGGGCTGGGGCTTGGGGCTCCAGAATGCGGATTTCTGATGAATCTCAGGTGATGCTGCGGGTCGGGGACCACACTTTGAGAAGCTGTTACTGCTGATGAGCCAGGCTTTGTCTCAGGGCTGGATCCTGCCCAGATTTCTACCTAAATGGCATCCTTCTCCCTGATGGTCTTTCATGGGCTTGTGCCCAGTGTCCTGTAGCCTGCCCTTGGCTCTGCCATGGAGAGTGCCCTTCCGGGCCCCAAAATGCAGCTCCTGCTCTCTTTACCCCATCCACCCCTGGCTTCTTTTCCTCACTCGCTCGTTCTGACAGTGTTTATGTGCCCCTCCTAGGTGGAGGCTGGGGACACTGTGTCGCTGGCCTGCCTGCTGACCTGCCCTCTTCTTCCCACAGGCTCTTTGTCCTGGGCATCGGCTTCTTCACTCTCTGCTTCCTGATGACCTCTCTGGGAGGCCAGTTCTCCACCCGGCGCCTGGGGGACTCACCCTTCACCATCCGCACAGAAGGTATCTCGAGAACAAAGGGAGTAAAAGCTAGTGTTTTTGAGTCGAAGGGGAGGTGGGGGCCTCCTGGGGCCCTGTCCCAGCATCCTGGCCACCTCACAGGTGAATGGGTAAGGCAAGTGGGGCCTCAGCCTTGGCTGGGTGACCTTGCACACTGGCTCTGGTCCTTCCTGTGCCCGGAGGCTTCCTCTGGCCAGGATCTTCAGACCAGGGGAAGAGGCCTGGGGCCCCGGGTCTCCAGGCATCAGGAGAGACTGCCTGCATGGCTCCTTCAGTTGGGGTGTCGGGGGCTGTCCCTGGATATGACCCCAGCCTCTGAGACACACATGTTCTGTGCCTCTGGTCCAAGCTGTGGCCTCAGTGGGGGCCTGGCCTGGCCATGGGCTCCTGTGTCTCCTCTCTGAGCTCTTAGGCTGTAGATCAGGCCCTGTTCTTCACTGCTCCTGGCCCATGTGATGGTTTCGGGGAGTGGAGTTGTGGTTCAGAGCATGCATACGCTTCAGGCACCAGCTGAGATGGGTTAGCTCCTTGGTTCATCACCTCCTTGCTGCGTGCCACTGGCCAAGTCTCTTAGGTCACCAGCGGAGAGGAAAAACAGGAGCTTTCCAGAGGTTGGATTGGACGGGCTCACCCATGGAATTACCTGGTACAGGTGGTTGTCACACGGCATGGGTTTGACAAACTGGGAGTCCTCCTGCCGGGCCCTGCTGGGGATGGTGGCAGCGGTGAGCCATAGAATCCTGCCCAGGGTGCCCCGCGGGGCCTTTTGGTTAGCGGTGGAAAGGAAAGCATGGAGCAGTGGGGAGACTGAGGCAAAGGGGTTTCTGGAGACGCTTGGCTCGGGCGATTTCCAAGTCCCTTCTCAGACTCACAGGGCTCGGCTCTCTGGTCCCCTGTTCCCAGCGATGAGTATCGTACACATTCCAAGTAGCAGCGGTTGTCATCTAGAGTGGGTGCTCTGAGTGGCACTTACCACGCCATCTGCTAGCTCATCGTTCGATTCATCCGTTTGGTTTCGCACGTTCTCCTTTAAACTTGCAAAAGCTCCCAGAAGGAATCTCACACTTATTAGTCATTCAGGCTCGGTGTAAGTTGATTGATCCCGTTTCTGACTCGCAGAGATCACTCGATCTCCCTGAGCCTCCATGTTCTCCCCTGGCAGGCAGGGATGATGCCACAGCTTCCCCAGGGTGCGGGTATGAGGGTCCCCACTGGCCCCGGGTGGCGAGCGGGGGTCTGTGCACGCTGGGAGTGTGGAACCCGCCGAGGGCCCTGCAGGAAGGGCCCTGGGGCAGAAGACCGAGGAGGTGCAGTCTCACTTGGGGCTGAGGTTGAGAGGGGTTGGGCAGGCGTGAAGGCAAGCTGGAGGACTTGGGGGAGGGGGTCGGTGGTGGGGTGCAAAGGCTGACGGTCCGGCTCCCGGGGTGTGACCCCTGCAAGCGGGGTACGCCTGTCTGGCTGGGTGGCTGCCAGGGCTTCCGGAAGCCTGGCCTGCAGCACGGTCAGGGCTCTGAGAGGTCGGCTTAGGCAGGCTGGGACAGGAAGAGTTTGTGGCAGGCCATCGCTCTTCTGGGTCAGGGGGCCAAGGTGACGCCCCTGTCCCACAGCCCCTGCCCTGTCCTGCCAGCCTTGGGCCCAGGATGAGGAGACCGCAAGGGGCTTGTGAGGGCCCTGCTGAGGGTCTGCACTGAGAGGTGTGCCCGGAAGCTGGGGAAGGGCCGGCCCCAGCCTCAGCTCTTGTCCCTCACTGGGGACGGAAGCTGTCCAAGGTCTTGTGGGTGGACCAGGGAAACGTGCATGTGCCTGTGTGTGGATGCGTGTGTGCATTGGTGCAGGTGCTTCACCTTTTCATTGAGGCCTAAAATACACAAAGCGAACACGTAATCCATGTCCTCAGATCCAGAAACAACACGAGCAGCCCCGGTGTCCCCGTGCCACCTCCCTGGCACTGCTTTCCTGCGGACAGTCACGACCTTCATTTCTGATAGGATAGAACGGCTGTGCCTGGGCTGGGACTTCATGAAGAGTGAGTGCTCCTTTGTGCGGTTCTTCCTCTCAACATTGACATGGGAGAGTCACCTCTCTCCTGGTATATGGTTGAGACGGGGTCTTGCTGTCCCTGAGTTGCTCAGGCTGGGCTCAAACTTGTGATCCTCCGGCCTCAGCTTTCCAGAGTGCCGGGATTGCAGGCGTGGGCTCCACCGTGTATTTCCCCACTATGTCATTGAGGGACATTGGGTTGTTTCTGGTTTGGAACTTTGGGAGTAGAGCAGCTGTGACCACTGCCGTGTGTGACCCCTGCTGGGCGCCTGCAGGGTTTCTGTCGGGGCATTCTGAGGAGTGGAGTCTCTGGGTCTCTCATGGGCTGTAGCATTAGTTCTAGACCAGGGTGATCGAGGTCAAAGCCTGGTCACATTACCCAAGTCCCCAGGCTGGGAGCTGAGTACCTGGAATATGGACCAACAGTCTGGGAAGAGGAGGCATGGATAAGGAGGGAGCCTTGGAGAAACCAGGAGGAACGGCCCTAAACCAGTTTATATCCCAATTCTCATTGTCCCATGATTTTTTTCTTCCTTTTACTTTTGAGACAGGGTCTGACTGTGTAGCACAGGTTGGCCTTGAACTCCTGGCAATCCTCCTGCTTCAGCCTCCCAAGTGCTAGGATCACAGGCCTGCATCACCATGTCTGGCTTGTCCCCCAAATTCTTTTTTTTGTTTCTTGGTACCAGGGATCGAACTCGGGTCCTTGCACATGCCCAGCAGGCTGCGAAACCACTGAGCTAAATCCCTGGCCCCCCCAAATTTTTTTATGGCCTTAGCTCCAGCTAATTTGTAAAGACTCAAGGCAGGGACGTGGGCCTGGAAAGCAGTGTGCATTGTGGTTTAAGAATTTTGATTCTAGAGAGAGGTCCTCCTCAAACTAGGTTCCACACTACGGCTGGGGACAGCTCCCAGGTGCCAGCATGACCCCAACAGGAGGAGGGAGGCTGGGAGGGGAGGTTGGCTGTGTGCCTGGCTGTGCAAGGTCCAGGAAGGACACTGGGGATGGTGGACTAGGGGTGGAGTGGTGGATAATGCCCGTTCTGTGGGGTCTGAGCCGCCCCTGGGCAGAATTAGGAGAAGGAAGCCCACTGAGGCCCTGCCATTTAGGAAGAAAAAAACAAACAAACACTGACATTGGTCAACAGAGCAGTCTGAGCACAAACAGGAAAAACACCTCTCCTCGCCCGCTGCACTGGAGAGGGAAGTGGGGTCCCAGGCAGACCAAGGCACTGGCGGGGCGGGGCGGCAGGGGAGGGTTTCCTGCAGGGCTGAGGAGAGCTGATCCAGCCCGCTGTGCCACCTCCTGGCGGGGCTGCACCTTCTGTGGGCCAGTGAACGCTTCATGATCGAGTGTGCCAGTTGGGATTACAAACGAAACAGGCATCTCCTGCATTCTGCACGCTCGTCTCACCGATCCAAGAGGGAAGAGGTGAACGGGAATCATCACTCAGGAGCTCTAACTTCATTTCCTCTTGTCACCGGGCAGGCCTGGGCACTGGGGGAGGCTGTTTGGGGCACCTCCCTCCCCAGGCAGCTTTGCCCCTCCACCCAGCGCCCCCTGAGCGGCCCTTGCTTCCCTCTCCAGGAAGTCACCTCTGAACACCTGGGCAGGAGCTAGCGGGGCTGTGGCTGGCTCCCTGTTTTGACCTGAAGAAGTAGCAGTTGGGGGCTTCTCTGGGGAGAGGTCCACGGGCTGGAGTCTGCCCTGTGTCTGCCCTGAGGTCTCCTGTGGCCTGGCCCTGCTAGATGCCCTGCCTTGCGTGCACTGGACCTGAGGATGCTCAGGTGCTGGATGGCTCCTGGGCTCTTCCCTCCAACAGTGGCTTTGGACAGCGGCCTGGCCCCGTGGGGATGAGAAAGCTGCATCCAGCCTCCCGGGCCTGTCCTGGTCTCCTCGCTGCCCAGAGCCCGGACACCACAGCCCTGGCTGGCTTTCTGGCATGGCGACAGCATTGTGCAGAGAGCCAAACCTGCATGTTTCTCAAGCTGTGCAAACCCAGAGGGACTCAACTGGCTCCTGAGGGCCGAGGAGGTCTCTCGTGTTGGGGAGGTGGGGGCTTGTTCAGTTTCCAGGAAGTAGCAGTGCAGGGTCGGGGAGAGACAGAGAGAAACAGAGAGCGTCTGGGGAGGAGATGGGCCTCGGCGGGTAATAAAAATACCCCGGTCTATAAATGTGAGGAGCCATTTGTATCTCTCGCGTCCCAGCTTTCCTTATTTATATGGAAATATGGCGGGAGCGTGTGTTAGTTCTGAGATGTATCGCTGGGGCCGCACAGTAAATACATTTCAATTCAGCCGACAGCAAGAGTAGGAAGTGACTCGGGGGAACCGCGTCGGCCTGCTCTGCTGATAGTCAGGGCCAGCATGGCACTCGAGCAGCCTGTCACTCGGCTGGGCCATCCGGCTAGCCTGCTCCCACCTGTGTCCCCTGTCTAGGGTGTCTGCAGGGCAGAAATGTGTTACATACCTCTGGAGCTCTTCGGAAAGGGGTGATGTGCTGTCTCCCCAGGTCTCAGGGGTGTCTGAGCTGCTCCTGAGCCCCAGAAGCTAGGGAGAATCGCCGTCCTGGTCCACAATGAAGAGAGGCCTTAGAAACCCAGCCAAAGTGGCCCTGACTCTTTCACCAGGGCCAGAGTGAGACTTCTGCCCACATGTTCATATGTGGGTCACTCCATCTGTTGACATTTTGTAAGACCTGGGTTAACCCTCCCTAGGAAGGGCCACGGACAACCCCGGCAAGGATTCTTGGGGAGGGGCCAGGGCAGCCTGTATTTCCCTTGTCATCTTGGCTCTGATTTCTTGCTTCTGCCAAATTATCCAACTCAGTATCTTCCCTCCTGCCTCCTCAGTCCCCCTCTACTAACCCAGAGGGAAAGGCACCCCGCTGCCCTCAGCCCCTCTGCCCAAGGGGACTGTGAGTTAGCTGCCAGCACAGAGGTGGCTGTCATGAGAGCTTGAACCCGCTGCCTGGCACAGCAAGCAGATGCACTTCCCTCTGTCCCTGAACCCCCAAGAGAAGCCTGTGCAGCCCCTGCAGTAGGAGTTTCCCCATCCTTGGATCCCCTCTGCCCCTGGGCCTCCTCTCTCTGGATCCCAGGCTGTGCCAGGAAGCTTCTGTCTCCTGTTGAATATGCAGTCATTTGTACTCTGTCTGCTCTGGGCATACAACTCTCCTGTCCACCTGGGGGGTCACCAAAGCAAAACAGAAATTTCTCTGAGGATGCAGTGGCTAGCTTCTTCTGGGGTAATCCCTTCCCTTTATCCTAGTCTCTAGAAGCGGTTAGGAAAGATTCGGAAACAGAAATAGAGGTGAGGGGAACTCAGAGCCCAGGGACTCCAGGCCCCTTGTTTTACACAGGGGAGACTGAGGCCAAGCACAGGAGAGTGACCTGTCCCCACTTGGTCAGTGGTGTGTAGGTCTGGAGTCCCTGTCCCCGGCCTGTGGTGTGCTGGTGGCCATGCCCCCACAGCTCGAGGCCAGTCTTGGCCATTATTGGCCCCTCTGGTTATTTTGCAGCCTGGGTGGTGGGGCTGGGAGAGCAGTAACTGTGAGGTCCCAGGAGAGGTGCAGTGGGGAGAGGCAAAGGAGGCTAGGGGTGGGCAGGGGCCAGAGGGCAGTGGGCAGGGGCCCGGCCCCAGGCATCGGGGAATCCACCCATCCTGGAAGCCAGGGTGCAGGCTTGGCAGCCATGGGTGCTCTCAGGCCTGGATTCTAGGGAGGCTCAGTCATGGTCTTGCTTTCTGGTTTTCATCCTGTTCCCTCGGGGAAGGGGCCACTGCAGCCTGAGCCATGAGCCGTGGCCCACCTGGGCTGCCCAGGGAGGCTGAGCAGGCTGTGTACTTCACAACTCCAGTGCCCACCAGCCGGCCACAAAATATAGATGATGCCTCTGGTGTTCTGCAGGGCAGTGGCCAGGTCAGAACATCTGATGTCCCCCTGCCTTTCAAGCTAAAATGTTGGTCACCGCCTCTCCTCTCCCTCTGTGAAGCTCTGGCTGTCTTCCAGCCATTGAGGATGGGCTGGGGTGGGGGTCTCAGAGGGAAGTGGCTTGAGAGGGTCAGGTCGCCCCACCTCGGTGAGGTTTTATTTGTGTCTTGTCTGATCCCCATCCCGTCGATTCACTGATGGATGAACTGATAGAATTCGAAGGAGTGGAGAGTGGAGAGAGAGGGCACAAGCTGGCGTTATTTAAGGCTCTTTGTGAAGCTTCTCCAGGCCTAACTGATTGTTTAGAAATCAGCTCAGCTTTCTGAGGGAAGAGGAGGAAGGCCATCGCTGTTCTCCTGGCAGTAGTGGGGACGCTGTTTCCCTTCCTTCCAGCACCCCCTGCTGTGGGGGACTTCGTGGGCAGCTCCCTCCTCCTGCTCTTCTGACTCGTCTCTGAGAAGAGACACTGCTCCTCCTCGCTGCTGTGGGCTGATGCCCAGCAGCAGCCAGCATCCCGAGGCCGGCCAGAGTGACCCTCCTAGCTCCCACCTTCCATCCCAGGACCCGCCAGGCGGTGTCTCGAGTCAGCCGGTGGAGGCCAGGAGAAAGGGCAGCGTCACAGCAGCCCCAGTGACAAGAGGACCCCCGGCTCCCTCGGCTCCCTCTCCTCAATGGCTCATTGCCTCTCGTCCCCTTTCTCCCTCCTCTGTTCTCAGTGGCCTGCCACAAGCTCTCTGCTGCCACCGCCAGGTGTGATGACCTTCGGCTGCAGACTGGGGACACTGAGAGCAGCACCGTGACTCCACGCAGTGTCACACAGGGTCTGAGGCAGCCTGTGTGGGGGCCCCTTCCCCGGCGAGGCCTGCTGGCTGTCCCAGCTTTTCTTCCCTGAGCAGAGGCTGCTGTGGCTGTGTGTAGCCCCCAGCCCCTGGGACCCTGGTGCCCACGGGGCAGACTTCCCACCGCCAGCACCCGGGTTGCCGGGCCCAGGAGCCCCCTTGGCAGGTGGGAAACGCTGGAATGTGACATCCCTGGAGCAGCCTTCGCCCAGGGACTGGCGGGGGATGGCACATAAATACCCTTCCCTGGCCAGAGTGGGGTGATTCTGAGGCCAGCCTGGCACCCAGCAAGGCTGAGGCTATGCCTCCCATGACGACCTCCCTTGTTCCCTCTCTGCTTCACTCCCCTACTGCGGTTTATGGGCTGCACGGAAGGGCTGTCCAAAATCTCCAGAGACTATAATGAAGATGGCAAGGGAGAACCTGGGCATGGTGTCAGACACCTGTAATCCCAGCACTCTGGAAGGCTGAGGCAGGAGGATTACAAGATGGAGCCCACCCTGGGCAATTTGGCAAGACTGTATAAAAAATTAAAGGGCTGGGTGGGGATGTAGCTCCGTGTGAAGGGTCTGGGGTCAATCCCCAGTACTGCCCCCACCTCCAAAAAAGAAGGCAGGTTAGGGTCTCTCCCTTGCCCAGGCTGAGGGGGGTGGCGTCCTTGTCAGTTGGCCCTGGGGAGCCCAAGACCAGCATGCGACTCAGGGGAAGTTCACGCTGGTTTTTTGCGGTGGGAGCCCAGAGGCTGAGCAGGGGAAGTGGGGCGAGGGGACGACAGCCGAGGCCCCTAGAGCACAGCACCCCAAGATGCATCAGAATCACGTGGGGAGCAGAGGAAGCACGGATCCCAGGGCCCGGTGCAGGTCGGGGCTGGCTAGGAGCTTCCGAGCCGGTGGACAACAGACCACACTTGTAGAGAACCCTGATCTGAGGTCGTGTGGGGTGGGGACGCTGGGACTCCTTCCCTTTCTTCTACCAGCCCCGAGGATTGCTGCGGCCCCGGACCCCCTCAGGGCTTACGTCTAAAGCTCTAGTTTACAGTCAATGAAACCGAGGCCCAGAGGGTAACAGACGTTCCCAGGGTTGCACAGCAGGTAGGGAGGGGGGTGGTTTCCCACTGGGCAAAGGGGCAAAGGGGGCTCCTGTCCCCGGGGCAGTGGTTGGGGCAGGCCCAGTCTTCTGACTCCTGCTCTGTGGTGGCCAAGGAAGATGGGAGCGGGGCCGGGTGGTCAGGTGGCTTCAGGTGGCCTCCAGGCTGCTGATGGTGCCCACACTCTGCCCACAGTGCTGGGTGGCCCTGAGTCCCGAGGCGTCCTCCGCAAGATGAGCGACCTGCTGGAGCTGATGGTGAAGCGCATGGACATGCTGGCTCGGCTGGAGAACAGCAGCGAGCTGCACCGGGCAGCTAGTGACACGCACCTTGCGGCAGACAGGTGAGGGCCTGGTGGGCACGGGGTGGGTGCGGGTGTGGCCCTGGTGTGCGGGGGCGCAGATGCAGTGCACTGTCAGAGCACGGTCCAGGTCCTGTCAGTTGTACCACTCACATTCCTGCCACTGGAACAAAATGCTCAACACCAGAAATTTAAGAGGAGAGGCTGAAGTCAGTCGTGCGGCCAGATGAGGGGGTCTGTGGAGCTGGAGACGGAACTGCTGCTGCAGGAGGCTCGAGAGAATGTGGAGGCAGCGCACAGCTACTGGCAGGAGCTGGGGCAGTGGCTGCAGGAGCTGCAGGAGGCAGAGGCAGGTTGGAGGGCCGGGTGGAGGCTGGGTGCGGGTGCTGAGGGCACCGATGGTGGCTGTGACTGAAAACTTCAGGCGGCTGGGGAAGGAGAGGCTGTGAAGGCTCCCAGAGACCTAGGAGGGTCTGGGAATGGGGAGAGGGACGCGTGGGGTCTTCAGGAGAAGACAAATTTAAGGAGTTGCGGGAGGGTGTGAGGAACGCAATGGGGGTGGCACCCTTGGTCAGGAAGAGTGAAGGACCGCAGCAAAATCCAAAGGGTCCCAGAGGGAAAGTCAGGGAAGTGAGGGTTATTTGGGAAGACCTGAGGTAGGCAGAAATTGACATTAGAGAGCACGAAGAACATACGGCACAATGATCCGAAGAGAGCTAAAAGTGGAGAGAAAATGGGCATCGGAAGGGGAGGACGAAGGACAGGCAAGGGGAAGGGGAGGGTTGAGAAATAGCGATCATGCTAAGTGAATGGGGCTAATGTGTGATCCAGAATGCATTTTTGAAAGAAATCGTTTAGAGAAATCTCATTCTAGATGGTGTAGGATTTAAGGTGAAAGTTGTTGAAGGGCCAGAGAAGGGAAGTGAGACGCTGGAGGGAAGGCATACAAATGTGAAGGGAAATGGAAAAACAGACTGAAAGAGGTGGGCTGTGAGGAAAGCTGAATATGCCTTCCCGTGGTGCAGTTGTGGGCTGTGACTGAGGGACCTTCCTGAGCCAGGCCGGGACCAAGGACAGTCTCGTCTGTCTGAACACATTGCCTCACAGTCGCTTCAATCCCACACCACCTTGTGGGGGTTTCTGTCTCTGCACAGGAGAAACCCAAGGGCCCAGCAGCCCAAGCCACACAGCTGTGCAGTGCTCTGCAGGCGCCTTTCTAACCTTCGCGCTCTTGTGGGCCATTCATGCAGCGTGGCTTAGTTTTTATCCCTCAGTGAGATTTTATATTAATTCATTCACAAATCAGGGAAAAAAAGACCTTTGTTAGACTCTGTGCTCTGATTTTGTTGTTGTTGTTGTTTTGTTTTGGGTTCAAAAAGCACAGGCACTGAGGTACAGTCTTGGATCCTGGGATGAAATGCGAAACACACGCAGTGAGAGCTCCCCACCTGCAGGAAGCTGGCTCCTCTATGGCTGCTAGGACCCCAGTTAGAGCTGTTTCACCCCTGCCCCTGTCAGACTAGGGCCTCACAGAATAAGCACAAGGGATCCGCTCACGCTTGTGTTAGGCCCCTAACACCCCTGTCAGGGGCTGGGGACTCAGTGACAAGCTCTGGATTCTTGTCAGGAACAACTGAGGAAAATAAAGAACTGAGATCCTTTCAGATACTGATGCGCTCCAAAGGCTAGGAGACGGCTGGTCACACCCAGTGGTCTAGGAAGCCCTCTGCATCTGTACGAGGTGTGATTAAAAAAATAGTGAGTGATTAAATTTTAAAAATGTATTACAGTGAGAGAACGTTGGCATTAATCCCCTCCAAAGATGCCCCTGCTTCGATCACACTTCTCCCATCGTTCTGCCACTTTCAGAAGCAGCTCTGGAGTCCTCTTTTGTGAATGTCTTTACTTGTGTTGCCCTGGCTGCCTTGATGTCCTGAATCAATCAAACGTTTCCCTTTCACGGATGTTTTGACAGTGCCGAGTCCATTGAGTAAGGTGGGCGAGGATACACCGCAATGTCTTTATTTGGCAGAAATTGCCGTAAGTGTTTTGATTCAATTTCAGAACATTAGGCAGCCGCAAAAAGATACTCACAAAAGAAGACTTCCAGAAATATTTCAGAAAATGACAAGAATGATGGGATAAGTGTGTTCACAGCAAGGAGGAGTATTTTGAGCCCCCTGGCAATGTCTTTTACTGTAATTTAAAAAATTTACACATTCATCATATCTTTTGCTTGCATGTCATATGTTTGAGGTTGATCATGAGTGATAGGGAGAAGTCAGCCACACAAGGAGCTGGGAGTAGAATAGGAAGTAGAGAGAGGAGCAAGTGCAAAGGCCCTGGGGTAGGAGCTCACTTGGTATGTTATAGGAAAGAGGCAATGTGAGGCCGATATGGTACAGTGTGGTGTGGAATGGGCCAGGACAACAGGGCCAAATCATGTAAGGCTTTGTTAGCTATTTTAAGAGCCACAAGGGCCGGGGATTTGGTTCAGTGGTTCTGCCGCCTGCCTCACAAGCACAAGGTGTGGAGTTCGATCCCCGGTACCAAAAAAAAAAGAGCCACAAGAAGCCATTGGGTTTGTTGTTTTTTAAATGTCACTGACTAGGGCCGGGGATTTAGCTCAGTGGTTTCACTACCTGCTGTGCAAGCACAAGGACCCAAGTTCGATCCCCAGTACCGAAAAAAAAAAAAAAAAAATCAGTGACTGCTATGTGAAAAATGAGTAGCCAAGTGGCAAAGAGGGAAAGAGAAGCTGGTGGAGACGGGGAGACAGGTGTTGGGCCTCTGTGGGCTCCAGGCCAAGAGATCTCTCCTCTGCCACACAACCAGCCGATCTTCCCCAACCCTTGCGTCCTGGCCACGTCCTCCCTGCTCTGTGGCATGTGCTTCTCCCTCGCCCTCCCTCCGCCTTGCGCTTTCCTGCCTTGTCCAGCCGTGCTGCCGACCCAGCCTCCACCCCTGGCCCCTTCACTAGGGTGGGACCGAGCACCCCTCTGGCTCCTGCTGGGCGTCCTGCTGGCCCCAGCTCCAGGCCTGGCTCCTTGGCTGCCCGCACAGCCGCTGTCTCTGCTCCAGCAGCCCTGCCCTTCAGCTCCTCTGGGGAAGGAGGGTGCTCGGAGCCCAAGCTGCGCCTCCCAGCTCCGTCCAGGAAACAGCAGCATCCATCAAGGCCAGGGAGCCATCGGACCCGCAGGAGACTCATCAGTCCAGGGACAGCGTGGCCTCAGGGCTGGAGAGCAGTGGCCCACACCCCGCTGCAGACACCGCAGCCCACCCCAGGGGCAGGGACAAGTGGCCCCACTCTGTCACCCGCACTCAGCCCCACCTTGAGATTCTCTGCAGCCTAATAGGAAGCTCTGCCCTCCCCCTGCCCTTCTGGAACCTTCTGGGGTGCCGTCTTCCGCTCGTGGCTGGTGTGTCCTCGGGGAAAGCAATTTTGCTATTTTCGCCTAGGAAAACATAATTAGGGAGGCAGATTGCTGCAAACAGCATCATATTATGGATCCAAAAGCCAAGTAGTAATGATCTTTGGATTCTCCATACAGCTCATCTGCAGTGGCAAACATACCAGAGTTGGAGGCCAGCTATGTTCAAGGGTGTTTGTATCTTTCCAGTGTTCACTGTGTGCTGAGTCCAGGCTGGGGACCCAAGGGTGGGGAAGGGGACTCCAAGGAGAGGGCTTGGAGCTTTGTTGTCAAAGCTGATGACCCACTGAGGAGAGGGAACAGGCGAGGGAGCAAGGACTGGGTTAGGAGCCCCTGCACACCCCAGCCCTGTGTCCCCCATTTCACTCAGAGTCCGTTTGGTGGCACTAACATGCCTGGCTCCATGTTTCTCTGGCCCTTTTTGTCTGTTCCCAGCCTCCCTGCTATTCCTGGAGCACAATAGTCTCCTGCTGGCCACAGGCCCTTTGCACTGGCTGTTCCCGCTGCTTGGCCCACTCTTTTCTTGGGTCTGCCTGGGTTAAAAAGCCCTCCCTTCCTTCCAGTTTTTGCTCAAGTGACTCCATTGAGGCCTTCCCTCACCAAGGCTTGTTTACAATACACCCCACTCCCCTATTTCTCTTTTTATCACCATCTCACTGTGTGCATTCATCACTCATTTGCTTGTTTTCCATCTCCCTTGCTGGAGTTTATGCTGCATGAGAGCAGAAGCTTGGTCCATTTCCTTTCTGTGCTTCCAGCCCCAAACACCCTGGTTTATCTGTTCTCATGTTCAGTTGGAACCTGCCGGAGAAAGAAGGAAGGAAAGGCAGGGAAGGGGGAGAAGGGAAGGGGAAGGGAGGACCCCTCGGGTACTCTTGGGTTCCAGTCCTACAGGTTGCCAATGCAAAGGAGAAGACAGCAGTGTGTGTTGGACAAAGTGGGCCTCAGTTTCCTGCTTCGTGCTCTGGCAGGCTGGGCGGGTGAGGGGGCTCCATGGCCTTTTGTTTTTTTTGGTACCGGGGATCGAACTCGGGTCCTCGCACTTGTGCAGCAGGCGGCGAAAGCACTGAGCCAAATCCCCGGCCCTAATGGTCTTGCTGTGCTTGGCTGAGTGGCTCAGCCGCAGGGGACACGGCCTCGCCCTTGGAGTGGTGGCTTCCCCGGGCAGTGTCAGGAAGAGAATCTCACCTTCCGGGCCGTTTTGGAGACCTCTTGCTCCCTGCATGCATTTCCAGCATCAGAAAGCTCGGCGGCTGTGGAAATGTCTGTCTGTCTGTCGGTGAGGGGCCAGCTAGGCAGGTGGGAGTGGCCCGCTGGGGCGCTTACGTGGAGAGGAGAAGCTGGGGTTTAATGTTAAGCGAAAATATGAAATAAAGCAGGTTGCATAATTATAAATAGAGTTGGAGTAAGTATGTAAAACTCAACATATGTACAATAAGCATGCAGAAAAGGTGGCAGAAAGGAAATACATCAAAATTCTTGTCTCTGGGAAATGAGACAAGGATTTCCTTCTAAATTAAAAAAGAGGCATTATTTAAACCTCAACTTCCTTCCCCTTGCCGCGCGAGATGCTGGGGCTGGCAGGGCTGCAGAGCTGGAGGTTAGCTCTGG